CTAATAAACTAAAGTTGAGGGGTATTTTTGACCCTTTTCCCTATATTATATAAACTCCCTTAGAAAATAAATATATATTATATATATTATATAATAGAAAAAATGATTTATTATATTATATTATTATATAGAATATTATATAGGGAGTTTATGATGGGACATTGAAATGTCCCATCATAAACTCCCTCTTATATATAAGTAGAAAATGTAACTTCTACGTATATTTAATTTTGCAAAATTTCAAAAAAAACATATTATTTTAATTAATAACCTACTTCTATCAGAACTTCACAAGGTTCCACAAGTAGGTTCAAATTTTGAATTTTGACTATTATTCAAAATTGGTGGCCCAGTCGTGTCACAAAGAAGTAGCATTAAATGCCACCTATGAAAGAAGTAAACTTCTTGCATGAATTATATGAGATTTATTTGAAGTGAACAGTTATCAAACTATTTTTATTAAATAAAATAATAATGTTTGTCTTCAGAAAATGATTTGAATAATAAGGTATTTAATATTGAGGATAAAACATGAAAAAATATAATTATTATTTTTATATGTCAAAAGTAATAAATAAAAATAAAAATTTATTTTAGGAATAAGTGACAAGTAAAAATTAACGGGAGGAATATCAACCAATTTTCTATAGGATTATTTGAAGTGAAAATTAAAGTGATGATATGTCTACCGCCTCAACTTGACCAAATTCATGAAGAGACAAATTTGATGAAGTAGCTACTTTTTGAGGTTTATTAATAGATTATGCTTCTCATTAGTTGTAGCATTATTTCTTGAGGTCTTCAACAATAGTTTTGTGAACGATTTGCAAGCAAGGACGATAAGGTTTTTCTTTTCTTTTGTGTTTTTTTTTTCTTTTCGTCATAATTATTATATCTCGATATATTTGTGATAAAAAAATGTATATCTTATCGTAAAAAGATCAAAATCATGATTAGATTGATTTTATAAAAATTAGACTTGTATCTACAACATATCCAAAATTCAATCTAGAACTACTTCAATATCGTTCTAAATAATTTTTTGAAGTTAACTTTAAATTTTGTAAAGTTGAAAATTATAAATTTATGCAACTTTGCGAAAAATATCCTGATCCAGGAACAACAAAATTACAAGCCGCTTGATTCTTCTGAAATAAGACATTAAAGTATCAAACATATCTGAAATTTGGAATTTAATATCTTTGGGATCATTTCAGATGTTATTACAAATTAAAGTTGGTTTTAAATTTTGATGCATCGATAGTTCTAGATTTGCACGATGACACTAAAAAAAATTATATCTCGATGTAGAAATACTGAAATTACAATTCGCTTCATTATACAGAAATTAGACACAAGTGTCTATAATATATCTAAAATCTAGAATTTAACATCCTCAGTATTGTTCTAGATATTTTTTTGAAATTGGCTCTAGATTCTAACACGCTAATCTGAGAGGTGCTTACTATAACAACTCACTCTTTTCAGATTATTTTTTTATATTTTGTTATAAGATCCACAAAATACTAAATACCATCTTGAAAACAAGGTCATATAAGGCACCAAAACCTAAGATTTCTTATGTTAAATTATTGTCAGATAAGATTATGGAGTTTATCATCACTCAACAAACTTTTATTGATTAACAAATCAAGACTTTGAATCCTCACACACACATATATATAAACTCGTTCATATTTAATATATCCTAAGCCATATCTAAAATATAAACTACACTCAACAATCCTCCAACATAGATATTGTTGGTGCAAAGATTGACGACATGAATTTCGTAAATTTTTAAATTATTTGATACATTTCTCCAAAGATGCAACCTTATAAGATATCATATATTTTTACAATAAAAAAATTTAAGTTTTTTTTCAAATATGCCTTACCAATCGTCTTAGATGGTGAGTATTTTATTCTACTGTGAATAGACAAGCAGGATATTTATACTATGGAAAATAAATGAGCATATTACAAATTTATACTTATATTTTTCATACTGTCACCATAGCTTAACATATATTTATTTGTTTTTAGTAAGTCACAGTTTCACATTTTTCTTATAGATTTTTTATTATAATTATCTTATAAATAACTTGATTGTATAAATATTATTAACATCATAAGTTCTTTTAGTTTATTGGAATAGTACTTTTCTTTTGTGGTGACTGGTGAGAAAATAAAACTCATTAATTGATTTCCAAACTATACTTCTAACACTACTGTGTCCACTTGAATTTAAAAACATACGAAATGGTTAAAAAATAAAGGCGGACTGAAAATTTAAAATTTATTAATTATGAATTTGTCACCAAACTCAGTAGCTTATTTTAATTAGTTATCAGTTATTAATTAAATGTTTTTATATATTTAATAAAAAAAATTGAA